TCTTCATGGCAAAGCCACTTCGACCGTCACTACTGCGGGAGTGCTGCCTCACCTACTGCTTCAACAAGCCCGAGGACAAGTAGACGGGGATGGACTGAAGGGGGGTTAACAATAAAGACGAAAATGTTTGACACATCTCGAGGTGCTGTCTTTTACTCAACTCTTTCACTGATGCAGAAGAGGCAGTGAAATGAGTCAGATTGTCATGGCTGATTATTTTAATATTGTAACATTAAAATAGGGCTGCAGCATCAGTTAATTGCAAATTGTTCTGTTCTAACTTGAATCTGTTCATTTAGATTAACAACCAGTGATTTCAATCTGTCAAAAGGAAAAACTGGCTGATCATTTCAACTCTAAAATTTTAAAGTATAGTATGTTGTTGAAAATTCAATTCACAGTAAAATGTTATTAAAACGAACAGTATAATACGTCAAAAGTGAAAACATTTAGTGTCAAAGTCATTGCATAGTATGTCTCTATAAAATGTGTTGGTATAGTAAGGCATAAGATGCAATGACAATCATAATATGGTGAGACATACAAATGTCATAAAAACATAGTATAAGACAAAGTCAGTGTATAATAAGGCATAAATAGTAACAGTATAGTCAAGCATAAAAAACTAATAAGTAATACAGTAAGGCCTAAAAAGTCAAAAAGTAACAGTATAGTAAAACAAAGTAAGGCATGAAAAATTCATAAAAAGTTTTATTATAGTAAGGCATAGTCATAGTATAGGGAGGTATAAAATGTAATGAAAATCATGATATAGTGAGATATACATGTTATAAAATGTCAGTATATTAAGTCAGAAAAGGCCATTGTATAACAAGTTGTAAAAGATCATAATATAGAAAGTCATAAAAAGTCATGTTATAGTAAGGCAAAAAAAAAGTTATTAAAGTCAAAGTAAAGCTTAAAAAATTCAGAAAATGTCATAGTATAGTAAGGCATAAAAAAGTCATAGCATAGTAAGGAATAANTTAAGTCAGAAAAGGCCATTGTATAACAAGTT